TAACTATTAGTCTTACTTAGTTACTGATTTCAGAAGGTTTGAATTTCAAGTGATTTGTTGATATACAGAAATTCTATACTTTTCAGTATTTGATTTCTTTTTTAAAAGCAGGGTGAAACAATGAAAGTAGCATTTCACAACAGTTTTCATCTTCATTGAATGTTGAAGATAGCTCTTTTACCAACAGATTATCATCTGATGGAGTAATGTCTGCTTCTATTGGCACATATGTTTAAAAAAATTAAAACTGAATTTTTGGGTTCTAATGTAATTTTATACAGTGGACCCTCAACTTACAGACGGCTCGACGTACAGACTTTTCGAGTTACAGACTTCTCTGGCTGCAAAATTTAGATTCGACTTGCAGCCAGAGAATCGACTTACAGACCAGAAAAAAACCAAAATGGAATAAAAATAGAATAAAAACCACTGGTTATGGGATTAATCGGTTTTCAGTGCATTGTAGGTCAATGGAGATTCGACTTACAGACTTTTCGACTTGCAGCCACCATTCCAATACGGATTAATTCCTTAAGTAGAGGGTCCACTGTATTAACTTTTTAGTTGGCTTACTATATATAAAATATTTATCTTCATAAGTCAGTAATTAAAGAAAATTGGGAGGTAAAACATTTCTGACATGATTTCTTGACAAATCCCAATGCAGTGCAGTCCAAATTCTATTTGGGAATAAGCCTCTGGAGTTCAGTAGCACTTAATTCAAAGAAAGCATACATAGCATCAGGCTGCAAATTGCTTTATAAAAGTGATACAAAAGATATAAAGCTTTCTGATTTTGTGATTAATCTGTATAATTAATTGAAGTGTCATTGCAGAAAGAGTGAAGCAAAGTAAATGAAGTGTGAAGTACAAATTAATAGTTCAGAACAATTGAGAATGCTAATTAGATTAGCTCCTGTAACTAGATTATAAAGGAAAAATGAAAATTATGGTAGTAAAATGTTGCACAGGATGCCCAGTGTTGTATAGTGGATAGAATGATGGATTATAACTCAGGAGGCCTGAGTTTGAATTCATGCTCAGCCATTCCTGCTCAGCCATTCAAGAAAAACTTAGATAATCACCTGGCAGATCTGCTTTGATTGTATTCCTGCATTGAACGGGGTTGGACTTGATGGCCTTGTAGGCCCCTTCCAACTTCACTTTTCTATGATTCTGTGGGAGCTGCCTGAGGGGGTGGGGGTGGAACTGGTAAAACCACTCCTTAAATATCTCATTTATATTGAAAGCCCTATTAGGGTCATTGTACATTGCTTCTAACTTGATGGCACATGACAAAATTGTACGTTGCTTCTAACTTGATGGCACATGACAAAACACTGCACACATATCAAGGACAATGTAAATGACAGTGCTGCAACATTGCTATAATAAGCTACAGTCTTGGGATCAAGTCTCTGACTTCCTTCTGATCAGACATGCATAGAATCATGCTGTAAGCAATATATATCACTGATATAATTGGCATATATTGACCAGAGAGCGACTGACTGGAGTGCGCCATGGAGCTAGTTAATGTGACCTTTTCTCTTTTTTTTCTTATGTGAAGCACTTTATAAGCATATGTAGCGGGCTTTGCCATTTCCAGCTTTTGCACTTGACATGGTCTGCATAAGTACCTTGAATCTGAATTTCAGACTGCTTTTTTATTCCTCTGCATTGAGCTCTCCATGGGCAGATTGTAAAGGGTCTACTGAAGGTCACAGGCTCTAATGATTGTCATTTATGTAATGGTAGCTGTGCTGTGGGAGATACCAGAGATGTGGGAGAGGTAAGGAGGCAGGGAATAGCAATGATATTTGCATTAACTTGATAGTGCAACTTAACACCTGGTTGTGGAATCAGGCAGTTCTTTGAAAGCCACTCAGAGTTTCATATTGGCCTGTGGGTTTAAATTTTCTCTTTTGGTGTGTGATCTTGAAGCAAATTCATGAAACAGGAAGAAGTGCCTGTAAACATGAAATTGAAAGAACAGACATTCTGTTGAGAATTCCCATTTTAACATGTGTTCCATTTAAAGGATGAAGCACATCCAGTATGACACATTTCCCATTGTGCATCAGTATGAGATCATGGTTTTAACTGAACTGGTTGGGGAAGGAGAAACATACCATTTTAATAAAATAATGTTAAGTGGTTTGATAAATAGTAGATGACAAGTAATGAAATGCAATAGAATTTCCATGAATGGGGTAGTGATGTATTGTTGGCTAAAGGAATGATTAGAGAATAATAGTGCAACACTATTTTATATGTAGAGCTCTTCCTTGAGGTCCTTTCATTCAGGAAAGATCCTTCCAACAGAGAGAAGGAATCTATGGGTCCAACCCGGAACATCCACAGTCTATACTTTAAAGATATCCAATCCTTATTTTGTATCTGTAGAAACCTTTTTTGGAAGATCAGAGGATGCAATAATTAAGAATTCCTTCCCCTTCTATATTTTAGTGTATGCTGGTCCTTCTTATTGTCATCACTGTACTCTCATCTTCATTGTACTGTCTTCAATGTTCTCGTATCATCCTGCTAAATTTTGTTTTTCAGCGACTGCTTCTCAAGGGTAATTGGTACTTTTTGGCCGTAAAGTCTTTCAGAATCAGATGGTTTCCCATTGTCTTCTTCTGTGCAATTTTTGCTGTCAGCTGCTGGACAGAATTATTTGTGAATTGCCAGTTGAACAGTGCACTCTTCCACAAGCAGGAGTGTTCTCAATGGAGCTGCACTCAAGGAATGCTCCCAGTAGCAGGGAGAAGCTGGATCCAGCCATATCTAGTGTCAATTGTTACCATGATAACCAAGGATGTAAAAATTCAGTGTTATACTTTGAATGTGCACGCATGCTACACTTCTTGGCCCTAATTCCTGTGACCATTGTTCACCATGTATGTGCAGGGGAAGGGGGGTTGTAGAAAGGAGCATCTGCTGGATGTAAAAATTCAGTGTTATACTTTGTGGATTTTGGCATGCTACACTTCTTGGCCCTAATTCCTGTGACCATTGTTCACCATGTATGTGCAGGGGAAGGGGGTTGTAGAAAGGAGCAGCTGCTTGATGTGGCAATGAATGCAATTGGCAAACTGCGTTGTAGAAAGGAGCATCTGCTTGATGTCCCCTGAGCAGGTGCTGAGACACTGTGCATTAACCTTGTATAGATGTGAATCAATGATTCTTCAAGCGCTAATGATGATATTTATACCTACATGGACACAATGTGGCAATGAATGCAATTGGCAAACTGCACCCCTTTCTGTTGCTAATTGATGGTAGTAGAAAGGAGATCAAAGCTAATTCTCTGCAAGGATATTCATTAAGGTTATATCACCTTGAAAAATTAAAAGCTACAATGTACCCCACCCAGGCTTACAATGATTTAAAATGCTATTTGCCAATGTTGGTTAAAGATCTTCAGGATTGCTGCAACACTGTATGCTCTTTTTTGCAATATAAACTCATGCACAATTAAAAGGGTGCCATTGATTTTTCTGAGGAATGAAAAGAGATAGTTTAATGTGTATAAACTTGTATTTTAAACATATTCTTGTTGATTTAGTAAATGTTACACAATTCCTGCGTATAAAAAATCTTTGTAGATTTACAACAGGAACAGTTAAAAGAACTATGCCGTGAAGTGGTACAAAAAGTGGTAATTAGAGATAGAAGACTCTGCTGAGTCATGATATTAACTAGTTTCCTGTCTCAGCCCCTCATAGGGTTGTAATAAAAATAAAGCAGGAGGATGAGAGCAATGTGCACTCTGGCCTTGAACTTGTTAGAGGGCGAACTTAATCCGTATTATTATGATAAATAAATTTTTAAAAGGCCATGATTTGTAAAGTCGCATCAACCACAGCAATTATCTGTAGTTCTTCCTTGAATACATTTATCAAAGGTCTAAAAGGTTTTAGTAGGTTATGTTTCTTATTGTAGAAATATAGTGCATAATATGTACACATCCAAGTTATGGCCTATTTCAGATTGTATATCATGATGGCACAGAATTATGTTCCTAAATAGCTCAGTAGTCAAAGAATTCTCTTGGCTCAGAGTTGGCACTATATAAGCAATAACAAATCACAGTAATCTTAAAAGCAGATTAATGTTTTGATCGGGCAGAAACAAAAATAAATTGTAAAATATTTTGAGCATATGCTGCAGATTGAGTGAGTGAACTGTAAATAGTTGTGATGTTCTGAACACAGGTAAGAAGGGATTAATTATAATCGTCTGCATTTGGGAGGCTAAAATAATCCTCGTTCAGTACTCAGGAACAAAATATCTACTGATTGGTTTAAACTAATTCCAATAATTTTTTTATGTTTCAAATGCAACCTTTTCAGTGTCCTAGCTGAAAACCTAAGAAGCATACTAATGTATAAAACAGTCTACGAACAGTGTAGATCAAAAGCACTTCATCTTCCACCTCCCTTGTCAGCTCTTTGTGTTTGAGGGAAGATCTAACCAGTCCTAGTTAAGGAACATGCTGTTTCAAGCAGAGTGCCTGATCAACGATGGAGACACTTCACTGTTACTGTAATGTCATAAGTTTTAGAGTGATGCCTAGTTACTTCTTACAACAGATAATTAAATGTCTTCAGGAGTTGTTAATGCCAGAGAAACCAAATACTTCTCAGTACAGTGGGGTCTTGACTTGCGAACTTAATCCGTATTGGAAGGCGGTTCTCAAGTCAAAAAGTCTGTAAGTCAAGTCTCCATTGACCTACAGTGCATTGAAAACCGATTAATCCCGTAACAGGCCGTTTTTGTTCCATTTTGGATTTTTTCTGGTCTGTAAGTCAAATCTCAGTCTGCAAGTCAAACCTAAATTTTGCGGCCAGAGAAGTCTGTAACTCAAAAAGTCTGTAAGTCAAGCCGTCTGTAAGTCAAGGGTCCACTGTAGATTTCTTTGGAGACCTGTGCTTAATGCTTATTATTTTGTATGCAGCTTGTTGTTCATAAGCTTTTAATTGTGTATTTCTCAGAGCTCCCTGAAGAGAAGAGGCAGCAGGGATATTCACAAAGAAAAGAAGGCATTTGCTCAGGTAATGCTTCAAGTTCATATAAAAAAAAAAACACCATCACAGGGGCATGTAGTGGGCAGATGAATGTTTGTTTTATTTTGCAGGCAATTTAGGAGTTTGTTAGAAATGGGAAAATTATTAGACTATTCTTATAATTTAGTTCTAACTTGGAATAATCTGCAGAGTTGATGCAATGAATGCCTTTCATTCTTGCCTTGTTTTTGCCATCTATTATGTGTGTAGATAACTTCCCTTGCAAAAAATAAAATCACCTTGTCTCAGGGTATTTGGAACAGATAGAGCTTAAGGACATTAACTAAATTTATCCTTGGTGCCAAGGTTTTTGTGCTAATGAGCATCTTGGCACCAAGTGCAGTGCACACATTAAAACAACACGTCGTATGTTGTTCTCTTCACGTCTGAGGCATTGTTTTCCAGGTTAACAGTGTGTGATCACACAATCCATCAGTTTATATCTGTTTGAAGTAAAAAAAAGTCCACTTTCTCTACTAGGATTAAGATTTTATTGAATTATTGAATTTTTTTTTCCAGAGAAAAATGGTTTGGACTTTGTTACTTTTTCCCCCTCTGACTATAATGTAACTGAACATGAAACCACTGCCCCCCACCAGCTTTAGTAACATTCACTGTTAAATAGATTGGGCATGTGGGCTGGATTTCCACCCAACGAGGAATAATGTGCTATTTTTTGGAAAGGCTTTATTCTTCAACATCAACATTTTTGTTCATTTTCATGGAGATGTTCTAGCAACTGGGTGCAGTTTACACATATTCTGCAAGAATAGTAATGTCGTGGTACTGCCAGAGCATGACTGTTCAACTGTATTACGCTGGCATCACATTTCATAGGGTTTGATCAGATGTTAACATTGTCCACATAATCTATGGAAATGAGGGTTGGATGCCTATAATCCTGGTGTAGCTTCATAATTAACATCTCTCTCAGTAAGAATAATAAAAATCTAGTGATCAGGCTCTTAGAGTTTGCCTGTTTTATTAGATGCATTAAGTAAAGTGAGAAGGCTAACTGAAGGGCAAACCAAATTTATCAAAGTGAGAAATAAAGAAGAGATGAATGGAAAGAAGATCTGGATTGCGACCAACAACTGAAACATATTGCAATGCTGTGAATGTCAGAAATAGGAGACTGTTATGTTCACCAGTGAAAGATGATACTCTCTCTTTGGCTATTACTGATATTCACCTGAAGGGGAAAGAAGCACCTTCTGTATACATAATTCATATTAATGTATACTTTAAAAAGTATTTTGGAAAGAAATGGCAAAATGACTTTTCTGTACTACATAGGGAGACAACTTGTAACCTTTCAGATTTTGTGGTCTCCAGTTCCCATCATCCTTCACAATTGACTCTGTTAGCTAGAGCAGGTAGAGGTTTAGTCCAACAACATTTGGAGGGCCACAAACTGCTAACTCCTTTTGTAAACTGATGCTCTTTTTCAAAGTAGGCATATGGAATCCAGTCCAATTGTAGCCCAAATGAAAGAAAGCAGGTTGAATCCAAACTGGGACATTCTTGGAGCAGTACATTGGATTTGATGGGACTTGACTTTAAATTTGATGAGACCCAAGTAACTTAAGTCTCACATAGTTCAGTGGGTCTTCTTCAAATACATTTAAATCTAATACTAATCTAGTACATACAGTGGTACTTCTAAAGTAGTAATTTTACATGGCTTGGCTATCCACGGTGCTTGTCAAGAGACAAGTATCAGGTTTTTACCTATTATGGACACTGGACGGACTTTAAAGCAATTATGATCCTTCAGAAGTTGTTGGACTTCTCATCATTCCTCAATCTGGCTGTTGCTGTTGGGAGTCAATGTCCAACAACACCTGAGCCTGGAATGGACATCCCAATAGAGGTCATATTGTAGCAAATAAGTATTAGAAGCACAAATAAGAAATATATTTCATAGCAGAACCTCAGTTAGACTCGGCTGTCAAAGAACAGTGATGAGTTCTGTGAACCCCCAGATCTCAGCAGCTGTAGAAGAATATTGTCTTTTGTCTGAAACATGTCTTAACTGCTACTACAAAAGCCAGCTTGTAATTATTTCTCTAGCTGTCTGCATTCATTGTAGATCAGCTTATCTGCCCCCTGTCTCTGCTATTGCTAAGCATTGTACAAGAATGCACAGGTACATTGAACAGAAGAGAGGGGTTAACCACACTACCACTGTATTAAGATCACCATATCTTGGTGCCATTTCATTTATTTTCTTAATATTCATAGTGAATAGGAAAAGGAATAAGAAACAACCTTCCATTAAGATAAATTATATTGCTCAGGAGTTCTTCCAGAATGTTAGAACTGATTCCTACCTATGTCCTTAGTGACCCATAGGGAGTCATCAAGTTATAGGTGATTAATGAGTCACTGTTATTTAGCAGTAGCTGAGAATTAATTATAAATTGATAGATTATATTCTGTCCTTGAAGTGTCTCTCTTTTGATTCGGTTATCTTTAGGTTTCAGTGGCCAAAGCACAGTGTACCATCCATAATGATGCTGCAAGCCATTGTACATGTTGAGGCAAACAAATATTTTCTCTCTTACTATGACACATGTAAACTTTTTAGTGCTGAGATATCAGACATGCAAACCAAATTGTACTGTCTCCCAACTAATCTGAGGTAAACTTGCATTAGATTGAATATACAGTACAATCTTTTTTTCTTAGGCACATGCTGCTTCAGTAACTTTGTGTCACTGATTCTCCAGAGCTCTGCCTTAATGTTGGCTACATTTGGACCATAATTTTCCTCTTCGTTTTCCTCTTGGAGAGGCTAGCAATCAAACAGTTTAGCATACACAGTAACTATTCCTGACCAGTTTAATGGCACATGGGATTTGATCCATACTTGTGATCACTAGAGTTCTGTTGAGGGTGGAAGAAGGGGAAGAGATGGCAGTTCCCTCAATTCCTTGTTCTTGCAAACCCTGGGCTCCCTTGAAAAGCCGTTGTGAAGATCTAAAGAAGAATGAAAGCCGGCAGTAAGGTCTCGGGAGGGAAGAAGGTTTGGCAAAAATTACTTTTCCACCCATGTCCCTTAGCAGAATGCCTCCAGTGGAACCTAATTTCCTCTATGACAGAAACCTCTCTTCTGTAGAGTTGTCAAATCTGTACTGAAAACATTTTATTTATTTAAAATATTTCTCTCCCACCTTTCTTCTTAAAAACGAACCCATGGTGGCTTAAGTGTTTCCATTATGGTTATGAACATGTAGAGCTAAATCAGAGTTCCAAATAGAGTAGCTTCATGGAACTTACTTAAGTATGGCATTAGTCTCATTATAGCTGCATCTATGTTATTGTGCAACAGACCACATCAACATTCCATAAGGCAATTCTAAAAATGAGGCCAACCAAAAAAAGAGAGGATAATTTTGAAACTGGACTTTAGATCAGCACCAAGTTTGGCACAGGTGTAAGAAACATTCTGCTTTTGCTATGAGCCAATTTCAAGGACATTTGGGCATAGGGTTTTCAGGCCATGATTTGTTAAAAGTAAAACATTTTTAAAAAAAACATTCAGAAATAGGTAGCATTAATTGTCCCTAGGTTTAAATTCACCCTTGTTGAAAAACAGCCATGGCAGCTGCTTTGTGTTTGTGTGAGAAGTAAACTAATGAAAAAAGAAGTCAGCGTCTCTGATTTTTCTTTGTTGTCACTTTGTGAATGGTGAGTACAAGAGGGCAGGTATCTTGTGGACCTTCTTGACTGCTGCCCTTGGTATTGTCAACATTCAGGCTGAGCGTTGCATGTAAAATTTGGCATCCTTTTTCCTGCTGGCAATGCAGGCATGATGTTGTGCAGCAATATTGGGCCATTTCCTGGCATTTTGAATTGTAGATACAGAAACACAATATCCCACATTCATAAAAGGTAGGGATTGTTGTTGTTTGAAGAACTGAATTTATTTATTGGTTCTACTCTAGTTCAGACTGGCTACTGGTTTTAACCCATATCTTTAACCAAAGTTGCACCTCAGGTTGACTGGATCTGAGTTCATAAGCATGTCTCCTCACAAAGTTTTACTTTATGAATGAAGAAGTACTAAAAACACCAAGTGATCAAAAAAGTGTGGGTTTTAACAGAAGAAAACAGTGTAGTAGTTCTGCATTTGGTTTTTATTGAAAGAGCAAGTTTCTATTCAGCAGAGCTGCAGAATGGAGCTTCTTGGAAAATGCCAAGCAGCAGTCAGAACACAAAGAAAACTGTTTCTTCAACGCAAGGTAGGAAGGTTGGCACAAGACTGATTTACTGGGCACCAGCTATGCTGCCATTTCATCCAGCTAAAATTCCAGTAAGGGCATAGCCACATTCTGCTTGTCCAACACCACTGAAGATTTTTCTGCTACTTACATAAAGGAAGATTTGGTTCTTATTCCTTCCCCCCACCCCACCCTTCTGCCACCAAAGATATAGACATAAATACATATGTTTTGCAATGTGATTAAGCCATCAGTCTCATAACAGCTTCTGCACTGCTAGCCCAATTAGCTATTTCTTTATTTTCATCATTTTTCTAATTAGTTTAAATGGCTAGCTCTTTAGCAGCTTGGAAAAACCCAAACAAATAAAATCTATCCAAAACATGTTTTATGAACAAAGCCCACTTGATTTGAACCTGTATGTGTGTAGACTTTGTGCAAATTACTTATTAAACATGCAGATATTTGAAGAAAGCCTAAGATCTCATTCTTCAATCTACATGCTGAATTTATGCTAGTGCATTGTCTGAATGGTCCTATAAGCCATAGTCTTATATAGACAACAAAACATTTTAGAGAAGCTAAATGGATGGATGGATTTGCGGCCATTGTGCATTTTATGTCTGCTGAGATAGACAAGAATCAGTGTAGTTAAGCACCCTGTTTTGGAACTTGTTTCACATTATGGATTTGTCTAGTAAAAAGTGAGTGGCCTTTAAATGTAGCCAATGCATGTGATTTTCATTTGCCTATTTTGCACTATCATGTGTCATTTTTCTGCTGCTTAGCATTCGGTAGCCCTGTTTTACTATTCTGTGCTTAATTAGATTTCCATTTTGTAATGAATATATGTTTATGTGATATTTGTTTATGTGAACACTCAAAACATTGAAGACATAAAGCATAGAAAGAAGGAATATGGTCAGATCATGCAGGTACTGTACTTCTTAGTTAAACTAAAATACATGTCACTGAGTATGTTTAACTTTCTTAATGAAAATTGCCCTTCCTTCCTTTTTCCTTTCCCACCCTTTTTGGCACTATCTGGAATAACAGTTTGTTTGACAAATTTGTTAATTCAAGCTGCAGTCCAATATTCAATTAAGCATATTTCTGCATAGGCATGTTAGAGTAGTACACTGTTAAATTACAGCTTTTGTTTACATGGCTAGGGAATTTGAGTGACATTAAGAATTTAAGTGACATTAAACCATATGGATTACTAAGTTTAGAGAGAAAATTGAACTTTCTCTGGGGATACCTTAATCCATTTAGTGAATTTAGGTTTGTTTATGCATAACTTGAAGGAGCATGGATGGTGCTTCCATTAGTATTTGCAGTTTCTAGCCATATATTTAAGGTTGCTTTTGTAATGGTCAGCCCTGCCCTCACCTGTCCGTCGCAGCTGAGCAGTGGAAAAGGAGCCAATGAGGGAACGGAAGGTGGTGCAAAAGGGGGAGGGGCTGGGATATAAAGGAGTGTATGGAGTATGTGTGGGAGAGAGTTCTGTGAGTCTAAGAGACAGTGTGCCAGAAAGTCAGTGAGAGTTAGGAGCTATGTGTTATTGAGTTCAGTGATTGAAAGAAATTGATTATCCACTTGTGATTTACTTATTTTACAATATTGATCAAATAAACAAGTTTAAGTTTGTTAAAGAAACACTGGTCTCAGTGAATAATTGAAAGATATTGGTGGCAGCAACTGAAAAAGAAGAGTGAGCACATACTGGAGGCCTGAGTTATTAGAGGCTCCAGCATGCCCTTTTGCACCACCTTCCGTTCTCTCATTGGCTCCTTTTCCACTGCTCAGCTGTGACGGACAGGTGAGGGCAGGGCTGACCGTTACAGCTTTTGTTCTTATATACTACAGTACCAATCCGCTCTCTAATGGAGAGTGAGTACTGGGGTGATAATGGTGGTAGTGATCTGGGATCAACACCGTTGCAATGACAGGTAAAATATGAAGAGGTCCCTCCTCAGTAAGAATGGAAAACCATGCTTGGTCTGTCCAAAGACAACGTTTTTGTCTCTATGCACACAACATTTCTCTGTGTTCAGCTGTTGGTCACAAGTGAACTACTTCTCATCTTGCATGACATTGCACTCTTTGTTACGTCTTCTGCTAGATCAGCTGACTTTGCTGGATAATCAATCAGTGTTAACCAACTGGCAGTTTTTAAAGATAAGTCTTATAAAATAATTTATATTCAGTTAGTAAAAACAACTTTCTCTGACTTTTTAAACTTATAAAAAACAAGTAACAAAATAGTCAAGAAATGTATGAAAAGGAACAAAAGCTTAATAAACATGTACCAACTAAATACTGTACATAGAAAATGAAAACGTAACAATGGAACAATTCAGATTCCTATATATATATGCTTAAAATCCGATGTTCTACATAATACTTTGCAACAATATAAAAGGCATTGCAGCAGTCTAGTAAGTTCAAGTTAACAGAAATGATAATTCCAGTATAATACATGATGTCAGAAAGTATTCTACTGTTCTGATATTTCTGGAGTTCTGTTATTGCATAGAAACCTTTGCCAGAGAAGCCTTTTACACAATCCAGAGAGAGGTGGTTTTTCTATTTTGTTTTGGTAATACTATAATATATATATTTACAGATTGTTTCTGTTTACAGTACATCTAATGGTAAATTATTTGCATCATTATTTTACTTGTTTACTCTGTATACATATATGCAATTTTTCCAATGCATACATTTTCCCATTTAATTCAATGGGAACATGTTTTCTCTTTTTTTGATATTGGGACAATATAATCTACATACAGTAAATAAACATTACAGAAAACCGGTTGTATGATGAAGTCTCCCTGGTCTTCATAACTTCTTTCAGCATTTTTTTTTCATGAATTTGTTCTCTTGTTGTAAGAGGCCATTTCTCCATCCTTCAAAGACTGTTGTCTTGACAAAATTCCCCTTCTGAGGTGAGATCTCCATAATTTCATTGAAAGATAGCAGCGCTGAATGGCTTTGCAGCGTAAGTATTAGGGAAACATCAGTTAATTTGAAACTTAGCCTTGGTTTTTATTTCTATTTAATATCCAGTAGAATTTATATGGTAATGAGACAAGATCTTTTGAAAGATCTTCTTTTGACTTCAGGGCTTGGTGTGAGATACACGATATTTGATTTTCTAAAAGATAGTTCATATAATATGACCTCCAGAGATACGAGTATCTCCCTTTGATAAAAAGCGGCAGGGTTATTTCATTTGTTTTGTTACAAATCAGCAAGCCTTTTATGTTCCTACTGCTTTATAGTCATAAACTATCAAATGGTGTTATGTAAATTCGTATATTTTCCTACTTTGATTTGGTTTGGCCCATGTTGTTTTAATCCTTTGTGTGCTTGCTTCTGAATAAGACCCAGTGAACTAATTGGTATTTACTGCTGAGCAGGCTTGTATAGGATTTCACTGTTAAATGTGCATAATAAATGATAAAGTTCCACATAGAGACAACTGTACAATTCATAGAAAACATATGCAGAAACACTGTTACTTGCTAACTTTGTGTCTTCTTGTGGCTGACATAATTTCGTGGAAGAGCTTCCTGAATTATAAATTCTGAAATAACTGGATGTAAAAAATATATATATTTTACATTCTGTATCAACGGACTTTAGTTCAAAAATCTGTGCCATTTCTTGAAACATTTATATCAACTGTTATTTTTCTGCAAATCTATAATATGAAAATTTACCAGCACCTAGCCAGCTGTGTGTTTATATATTTGTCATGCATTACAGAATAACAGGCAGTATATTTATTGTCTATATGTTTTTCTTTTCTTAATATTCATTATGAACTATAGGAAGACAGTGCTGACTTGAAGTGCCAGCTTCAGTTTGCCAAAGAAGAGGCAGCACTGATGCGTAAAAAGATGGCCAAGCTAGGCAGGGAGAAAGATGAACTGGAACAAGAACTCCAAAAATACAAGTCCATCTATGGAGATGTGGAAAGCCCTCTCCCCATTGGGGAAGCTGGAGGACCACCAAGCACAAGGGAAGCTGAACTGAAGCTTCGTTTGAAGCTGGTGGAAGAGGAAGCTAACATACTTGGCAGAAAGCTAGTGGAACTAGAGGTGGAAAACAGAGGTATTAAGGCTGAAATGGAAGATATGAAGTGCCAGTATGAGAGAGTTTGTCTTAGTCAGGACCATGTTGCAAGCATTCCTACCTCACCTTATGGCGACTCTGTGGAGTCAGCTGCAGAACTGCGTCGTCATTTGCAGTTTGTGGAAGAAGAGGCTGAACTGCTGAGGAGATCCATTGCTGAAATTGAAGACCATAATAAGCAGTTAACTAATGAATTAAATAAATTCAAGTTTGAACCTGGGCAGGAGTCTAGCTGGCTTGATGAAAATGCTTCCAAGTGCAGTGGGTCTTTGCAAGAAGAGCTGAAGTCAGCCCGTATGCAAATCAATGAACTGAGTGGGAAAGTGATGAAGCTCCAATATGAGAATCGAGTATTGTTGTCCAATGTGCAGCGTTATGATCTTGCCTCACACCTAGGACTGCGGACCTCAAGCCCAAGTGATGCTGAGAGTGAAACAGGGAAGAAAGAATGTGACAACGAAGAAGGCCGTCTACCTCAACCAAAGAGAGAGGGACCCATTGGGGGTGAGAGTGATTCTGAGGATGTATATGAAAAGACATCAGGTTTTGGGAGTGGGAAGCCATCAGAAGTTAGTGATATTGGTTCCACTGAATTCACACAGGCCAAAGAGAACACAGAGTCTCTGGTCAACATCAAGCATGAAGCTGAAAGGCTTGAAAAAGCTATGGACCGTCTCATCATTGATACAAATAGTTTAATATATGAAGCAAAAGTGCATGTAACAAGTAGTGCTTCCTCTGGCCAAGGTTTTGAAAACAATGAAGGAAAAATGGAAAGCAAGGAAGAGCCATTACTCACAGATACCATTAATTCAAAGATGAAAAATTTCCAGAAAGAACTGCAGACCTTCTTGGAGAAGGTTGACAACATTGGGGAAGGCTTGAAAGAACCAATAGAAGATCTTTCCCCTCTCCCTCACCTCACAGAGTCTTCCAGTTTTCTGTCCACAATGACATCCATCTCCCGAGACTCACCCATTGGTAACCAGGCAAAAGACCTAATCACAGATTTTCAGGTAGGTGGGCTGTTCCTTTGTTTTCATGCATTCTATAACTCTTTCCTGTTGTGCTGGTGTTATTTATAACCATGGCCATTTTGTTGTAATTTTGAAGTATATATTGCAAAATATCTTGCTGGTTTTCCTTTGTAATTCTCCACTACTTTGGTACAGAGGCTGTTCCTCACAGCAGAAAGGCCAATGGAAACAAGATACTGTTTTTTTTTCCTGGTCTGTTACAGCAAATGCTGTAATGTATATTCATAGCAACTTTGTTGCAATTGCAAGTTAAACAAAATTAACAATATAATGTCAATGTAAATTTCCTTTCGTATGCCATTAGCTATTTTGCTAATGGTTGTACTAAAACTATCCTTTTTATTTTACTTTACTTTACTTTGCTCCTACACTCTTTCTAAAATGAAATGAGTTCTCAAAAGATCTTGCCAGAAATAGCAATCTAAAATGAAATAAGTTGCATTCTTGAAAATCTCATTTTACATCTCTCTGCCATGATGGTGGGATGAGCAAAGAAGCCCTGTAGCTGCTTTTCATAATGTCTTTCCTCTGGGCTCATGTCTGTACTGCCACAGCTGCCACACCGGATATGGCTTTTTCTGCACAGCACAAGTAAGGATGGAAGAGCCGCGTATCCTCATATCCTCCATAACTTATATGCTTGCTGTTGCTTTGACTCATGCATCTTCATTTGCATGCGCCTCATAACCAGTGTTTGCATTCTTTCCCTCCTTTCTCTTTTTTGCTTTTCAGATGTTTCAGCCCATTATTTTGCTCATATTCACATTAGTTCTTTTCTCTTCACTTTCTTATGCCACTGCATTTAAGTTAATTTTTCTGTTCACGCTTTTCTTTGTCTTGTAGTTTTTTCTGTCATCTACCTTACACATTTTTGTTTCTTTTATTCCCTCTTGTTCTTTTTTTTAATGTTATAACCCTCACCCATGCACCTAACAGTCCAAACTGAGGGATCAGATGGAATGGCAGCGCAGCCAAGACCTTGGAGATGAGCAAGAGATTCAACACCAACGAGGCACCACTGAGCCACTCTGCAGAGCTGATGGAGACTTTAAACTCTACAGGCCAAGAAACAAGGGTTCTTTCAGTCTAGAGGTTAGCACAGCCAATGAAAAGCATCTTTCTGCCTTTATAAGGAAGTGATAAGTATCTTTCACAGAAATGAAGGCAAAATGGGAGGGGGAATCATTCTTGTATCCCTCCTATCATTTGCAAATGAATTAGAAAAGGGAACATGCAAATCATAATGTTTGCTAAAAAGATGAAGCAAAACAAAGCAGTCCTTGGTATAGGCAGAATTAGTCTGCAAGTAAGCAGATAGCCAGTGTGCCACATGTGTTACTTGATTTTACCACCCTGTTTCATATTCATACTTATTACCTATTACACAACTGTGCTGAGTTTGGTTCTAGTATTTCAAATACATAGAAAATAACTTCCATAAATCTTTGTCAATGTCATAAAAGATCTAAATAAGTTTGTTTTTTATGGACATAATCCAAATTGCTTCTTTTATGTGAAGAGAATCTATTCCATGCATAAAAGATCTAAATAAGTTTGTCTTTTATGGACATAATCCAAAATTGCTTCTTTTATGTGAAGAGAATCTAAGTGCATAAAGGTGTTCCCATTTTCTACATTATTTGTTTCCATTCCTATGAGCAAGAGTTTTGTGTGTGCAGATTTTCATAATCAATTTGAAAGGGCAAGATTGCTGTCTGTGTCTTTATCTGTTATATGAGGACCTATGTAGTACTGTATAGTGATGGATAGAGTGAGGAATTAGGTTTCTAGAGATCAACGTTTGAATCCCTGCGTAGCTATGGAAAGTCATGGGGGCATGTGGAACTAATAAAGCATTCCTTAAATAATATCACCTTAGAAGCCATAACTTCAGGTATCTGACTGTGGAGCCAGAGGTTAAGAGTTCGATTCCCCACTGGGTCTCCTTGACAGGAGCTGTACTCAATGAACCATAGGGTCTCTTCCAGCTCTGCAGCTCTCAGATGATGATGATGATGATGATAATTAAGGTCACTAACAGTCAGTTCTGACTTGATGGTATGTAACTATCTTTATCCATAGGTGTTATATTCTGAACTGTCACATCAGTTTCCATGTTTGAATGTCAGAGTAATGATCTGACCAAGAACTAGTCAGGTGTGAATGTTTACATCTGGGTGACAATAACTGTACATAATTTGAGTGGTGCTCTGCCTGTGTAGTGGCATTCATTATATTTTCTTTAGATGTGCAAATTTTATTGAAATGAAAGGAACCTGGGTTCTATATGTCTTTATCAGAGATAGGCTGTGCTCAGTTCTGATGGGCTGTCAAACAGTGAACAGGTATTTTAAAGACAGTTGGTAGGCCACATGAACTATGGGATTTAAGAATGCACTTTTCATTTGGTAGCCACTGACTGTACAATCTTGGCTAAAGATGTGGTGAGTTTGGAACAGGCAGAAGCCTCTTCTGTCAGCAGCAATATCTTTATGCCAGCAAAAGCCTCTTCTGCTAGCTCATCTCAGATATCTGCCAGCAGAGGGATTTGCCAGGTGAACTGCTGTGCTGATTAAAATATGTCAGCTGAAAAGTTAAAATAAAAAAAAAAGAAATGGGACAAGGGAGGAGCTGTGCCAGATCCAGACCACCTCTACCCCCAGGGCAACAGGCATTATGCCAGCACAATCTTAGCTTAGGCTGAGGGTAGTTCTAAGTAGTTTCAGACATCTTTAGCTTGGTGGGGTTTGAAATTCAGCATAGCTTCACCTGGCCTACTGACAGCTCAGCTGGTCCTCAACCATTGTGGTTATTGAGGATTGCACTTTTAGTCTGTCAAATGCATTGTGTAACTGTGGGTCAGAGGCAAGCATTAGCTGCAGCAGAGAAAAATGCACTGTGGATTTACTCTTGTTGTAACTCAGCCAGGCACAGAATGAGTGAGCAAGGATCATTCTGAGAAGGGAAGAAAGGGAGCTTTATGTATATTAGTATAAATAAGTAGAGTTTGGACATTATACATATACTATCCTAAATAGTAACAGTTATAATAACCCCTGTGATGACAACAACAGTGATGACAACATGTTCAGTTATAATCTGTCTAAGAGCCAGAGCTGCCAACTTAGTACTGTGGAACCTCTGCTTACGAACTTAATCCATCCTAGAAGATGTTCGTTAGTTGAAGCAAAATTTCCAATAGGAATGCATTGGAAACCATTTAATCTGTTCTGGCTGGTTTTCGTTCTTATCAAGAGGCGCCATTCTTAAATTGAAGCATTAGTTCCCATAGCAACTAATGCAAAGCCGGTTAATCTGTCCTCTACCACTAGGGGGAGATTTTTTCTTCTTTTGACCTAAAATGAACTTAGGTCAAAAAAAGAGCAGGAAAGGGGGGGGGAGGGAACCCCTCCTAAACAGAACACCTTTAAAAACAAGCAGCTTTTAAACAAAACTAAGCCAAGCCAAGGACCTTTTAGGTAAAAAAAAGGAGAGGAGGGAGGGAGGGAACAATGGGGAAAAGAGGTAAGAAAGAAAGAAAGAAGGTCGTCACTGGGGCAGACAGACCCCTCAGACAAAGGTTTGTGCTTTCAAGCACAAAAAGAGAGAAGACAGAGAGAGAGAAGACAATGAGGGAAAAAGAGTTTGGAGTCTAAAACACTTTTTAAACAAAACACATTTGAGTCTAAGCTGCATTTTAGAGCAAACCAGCCAGCACAGCCCCTCACAGAAGATTTTCTGGTTTTAAGGAAAAAAAGACTTTGGAGTCTAAACTGCATTTTACGGCCAGCCTGCATCAACAACCAGCAACCATTACTGTATTCCAGCACAGAACTCCTCATCCCAAAAGGAGAGCATGGGGAGGGGCAGAGACTTGAGTCTAAACTCCATTTTAAAGCCTGCCTGCCTGACTGCGTGCATCTACAACCACCACAGCCCCTCACAGAATACTGTATTTTCTGATTCTAAAACAAACTTTAGAGCCACATTTTAACCACACACATTTTAAAACTAAAATCTACACTGCAAGACCCATCAGAGCACAGAAACATAAACATAAACACCTAGCCCTACCCCCACCAAGCTGCAAAAAAACCCTGCACAGTACAGTAAATATGGTGTATTCACCCAGAACAGGCAGTCTCTCTGTTTAAAAAAAGAAAGTCAAAAATTCAAAATAAAAAAATTTAAAAGCCAAAAAAAAAAAAAAAGCCAGTTTGTATAGTACAGTACCAGGCAGAACCAGGCAGTCTGAAGACTCTCTCCCTATCCACTCTCTAACCACTTGGACGAGCAATGTTGCAGACAAGAACCCTCTTCACTGGCCAACGGTCAACTTAAAGTTCAAATTTCACGCTTTCCCCACCTGCCCTGCATTTTTTTTCCATTTGTATGTTGAAGCTCCATTCGCAAGTAGAAGTAAAATTTTGTGAACGAAGCTGTTTGTAAGTTGGATTGTTCGTAGATAGGGATGTTCATAAGTAGAGGCTCCACTGTACTTACAGAAGAGCAAAGATGAAGACATACATAAAGACAGAGTTGTTTGTTGTTAAAAAAAGTTCATCAGTTTCATCAGAAGTCTTCATCTAAATATACATATACATCAAATAAATATCAAGCATTTATTTCAGATGAACATAACCAATGATATTGCGATGCTCATAAATTTCCCTTTTCAAGCCCTATAATCATTTGCTTGACAAGTCATCAGATTTGTATTTTCATCTATAGGTCCCAAGGTATGCCATACTCTGGTAACTTAACATTAATTGCACAATCAGTGACTCTAGATTTCTGTCTTCTGAATTCCTAGGTTCCTATTAGACATACGTTTGTTGGTTTGTTTTATGTTACTGTTTTGGCAACCAGAAGTCAAGGGTTTTTGTTGTTTTTAAGGTAATGTTAGGAAGAGACCAACTTTTATATTATAGTATTTCAGGCTGAAATTAAACTCAGAATTATCTACAACAGCCTGAAGTTCTGGGAATGGGAGCCCACCATTAATTTGGTGGTTTTATCACCTTTTTCAACCAGGGAAATAATAGTGGGATTGTATTGGAGTATTCAGTTTAGATATTGCTTAAACACATTTCGGTTATTATTATGGACAAAGGACTATGTGCACATTAACATTTACATAGCTGTCCCTTAGCACAATTGACAGATATGATTTATGCAGTCAGAATAACAAAAGCTCTGGAGTTGTGTTACTCTTCTAAAGTGTGTTTGAAGTGTGGAATGGTGATTCTTATCTGTGACTGTGGGAAAAACATCTGCGTGCATTTGTCTGGAATAAAAGACATGGATTAACATAAAACTGTGAAAATGTTCCCATAAACCACCCTGATTATGGAAACAAAAGACTGGCTACAAAATGTTAAAGTTTAACTAATCTGCATTAAGTGATCCTTCACATTGTTCCCTGAATGATGGATCATTTATTCTAATCTGCTTTTGTGACTGTGAGAACTGGACCCATGGGCTTTAATTATTCCAAATTCATTAATCCTACTCCTTTACCTTAGTTGTACTGGGGGGTATAGAAGTCACAACTGTTCACAGTGGCTTGAATCTGACCTGCTCTTGCAAACAAAAAGTCGCTTTCAGTTTTCAGAAATGAGATGGTTTCAGTGGATGCTGTCACCATACAAGCAAGGAGAAAGGCGGGAGATGATTCTTATATGCTCTTTTGGGCAGTTCATCTACACTCTGGAATAGATGTGGAGAGAATTGGGCACTTGTTAGAAGCGTAGGAGACTGTGGGTCTTCCCAGCCTTCTGCCTCCAGGAGTATCCATCCAGGATCTCTGGATCTAGCCCAGTGCTTTGCCAGCCAGTTGACATATAAGATATGCTAGTTGAGCAAAAGTATCCACAGTGCAAATTAAAAATGGGATGTGCTTTCCTTGTGTGGCAACTAATTATTGAAGCATGCTGTTGCTTTATTGTTTTACGTTTCCCAAGTACGTATGTGTGTAGTTCCTAAGAGGGCTGAACAGAAGCATTGCAGTCCTAGCACCCCAAGTGTTAAAACTTCTGCATCATCAGGCTGATAAAGTATGTTTGTGAAGGGAAAAATCTCAAGATAAAAAC